CTATCCCTAAACCTAACCTAAACTCAATTCACACCTTAGTCCTAAACCTAACCCCCACCCCAAGAAGAGAAACTTTCCTTATGGGGACCAGTTGTTGTTCTCCACAAGTACCTATGAGTCCCCAAAATGTAGCATATTCCTAGGAAATTGTCCCCACCAGGTATTAAAGACATGGCCACACCTTACACACACACACACACACACACACACACACACTGACAGCTATGGCCCTCCGTGTGCTGAAAGCCAGCCCTCCCTCCAGCCATCCTGATAAGACAGGAATGTTGGAAGCACTGCAGCTTCAGTTCAAGCAGCTCTGTAAGATCTCCCTGTGACTCATCTCTGCTCATCTGTGTAGGGTGGGGTGGGAATCCTCTAGAGCTGCATCTTTCAGAACTGTTCTTCCAGCCAGAGGTGTCAGGTTACAGACTGCTCCTCAGATGATTTTCTGCTCCGAACGTGTTCAGGGATAAAACAGTGATGGACTCGTCCTTCCAGCTGCTCTCTTCCTACAAAGACTCTTTATTTCTGCCTCGAGCCACAGCAAACAATGTGTCTGCTGTCAGGAGGAGAACCCCGCCACCCCCCCACTCCACCCCCCCGACCACCTTCAGCAGCAGCAGGAGCAATCCCTCCAAACATCTGTGGGATTTGCTCCACAGCAGGTGTGGAAGATTACAATGCAAACAAGCCGCCAGGGTTCAGCCCAGGAATGAGGAGGCTGCGAGGCTCAGTCTGGTTCTGCAGAACCAGAGCAGAACTCTGAGACCCGTTCACATCAGCAGGGTCTAACTGGCAGCAGTTCAAACTACCAGAATAAACCTGAGAGAAGTTAGAGAGACTAAAGTAGATCCAACAAAATCGCTGGAGGGAACAAAGCTCAGTCACCGGGCCGGACCAAACCAGAACAGAGTCCAGTCATGGTGGTGGGAGGGTGTGGTCTATGCAGAGCTGCTGTGGGTTGCTGATTCTGGAGCCAAACAGTCATCTCTGCTGAGTCCCACTGGTTCTTTGGATCTCTGAGCCCCCCGTAGTTCAGAACATGGCTGGTTCCACTGGTTCTTCATCGGTGACCTGACCAGCTACAGTCACACTTATTGCCCATGTGGTTCTGCTCAGCTCTGGAGGTCCCAGCACAGATCCAGACCCTGAACAGAACCTTCAGCTCCAGACATTAATCTGCTGCTGGGTTTGGATTTATCGTTCCGCTGTTTCCGCGATGGCTGTAAGGAGTCCAGATGCTCTGTCCTAGGGTGAACTGATGTCCTCTTCTTCCTGTCCTACTTTTCATACCTAAAAAAATGTCCAGGTGGGAATTTCAAAATCATCCAGGATTTTGGTCGACTACAGTGCAACAGACCCAACCCGTCAGCACCGCGGTGAAGATGGGTGGAAGTTGGATTTGGATATTAAAGCTCTGTTGAGTCAGCAGGATCTAGCAAATGGTTGATCCGACTGAGGGACTCTGATGTCAGCCAGCGTCTCTCAGCTGCTCCCTCCTCCCACACGTGGTGGTGCATTTAGGGACTGTCAACAAATCTCTGAACTAAGCACTCTTGAGAAAAAAAAAATCAATAGATTCCTTATCTTATAACCAGCTAAGATGAAACTAATATAAAGTCTTGCCAACAGATAACATATGTAAAGCACACTTGCTTTTATGCAATTTTAAGCTATTTTCAATATTTAAGATATTTTTAATACAAAGCTGGGAATTTTCTTCAATAGCTTCCAGGTCATGTGACCTACTGACTCAAATTCTTTGTTAAAATTGTTTTACTAACTTAGCCTGATGAGATACACACATTATTATCCCATTTTAGGCTTTTGTATATTTTAAAACGTTTTTATCACAAAAATAATTGATATTTCTTCAATAGCTTCCAGGTCATGTGACTCACTGACTCCAAATTTATGTCAAATTGTTCTACTACATTAGTCTGATGAGGAACACATATTTATTCCATTTCAAGCCTTTGTATATTTTTGCCTTACCGTGCAGCTGTAAGCATACTGTAGGGCAGTGTTATTCAATCCTGGTCCTCAAGGCACCCTGCCCTGCATGTTTTAGATGTTTCCCAGCTTTCACACACCTGTTATCAATTGATAGCAGATTATTAGGCTTTGCTGAACTGAAATAATCTGAATCAGGTGTGCTGAACCTCAGAAACATCCAAAACATGCAGAGCAGGGTGCCTTGAGGACCAGGGTTGAAAAACACTGCTGTAGGGTTCGGTCGCTCCGTGCCCAGCTGGCTCCGGATAAGTCAGCCCCAAAACAAAAAAGTGTCCTCCTTTTCAGAAACCCAAATCTGGTCACCCTACTCTGGACCAGCCCAGCTCATTAACCCTCCACCACGGTGCTCAGTTTGAGCTAGAACTCAGGAAGCTGCTGGCTGCAGGTTATTCTGGTTCTGACACATCTGGGCTCCTGTTTGGCTAAGATGAAGGAAGATTAGGAGAAGGAATCTACATCTGGATCTGCTTTCCTCATGACTGCCTCCTTGGCTCTGTTTATGGCTCTCAGCTTTCATTAAACTTCAAATAAAAACAGGAGTTAAATGACAACTGTAAACAGATAAAGAGTCTTGGTTCAGAAGGGTCTGTGGAACCAGCAGGAAGAAGATGAGATGTTCTACAGAAGCCCATAAAGCTCCACCTGAACCCCTCAGATCAGCACAGTTGATCTCCTCCAGAATGGGGAGCTGCGCTGTGTTTACTTCATGTGTAGGGAGTTCAGGGTCCGAATAGAACCTGACCAGAACCAAAGAACTGAAATAAAACCTTAATGGAGGTGCTGTTGCTTTTACCTTTTCTCCAAGGAGCCAAGAAGGAGAAGGACCTCTGCCAGCTGATGAAGAGCCCAGCCTTCTTCCTCCTCAGACTCATGTTGCTGAGGATCAACCCTCCTCAGATCTTCCTGATCCGTTCCTCTGTTTTGAAGTCTAGCTGCAGAGGAAAGGCGTTTACTTTAGAGGTGATCGCTGGTGGCGCTGGAGTTCCTGCTGGAGCGGCTCTCTGATCTGTGGCTGGAAGCAGCTCCTTCAGTAGAGCAGAGCGGAGCAACGGGGGAGGGACTCCAGGAGGAGGAGGAGGAGGAGGAGCAGTTCAGGCCACCAAAGAGGGTGGGAGATTCAGCAGCAGATCTCTGTGCCCCCATGTTACTGCCACACCACTTATATCCCACAGAATAAAACTGATGTAAAAGGTTACATCTACACCTTAGAGAGGGGGTTCCAAAAGCAGGGGGCAGGGGCCCCTGGGAGAAACCAAGAGGGGGGACACAAGATCACTGTGATGTTAGCCCTGAGGTCCATAGAGGGACAGAAAAGATCATTAAATATATAAAATAAATTAATGCCATTTTTATATATTTGTTTTAACAAATGATTTAAACATTAAATGGACTGTGGTCAGAAAATGTTGATTTCTCTTATTTTATATATTTAGTTTATGCTATTTGTCAAAAATGCTATTTTACACAATGCCTGAGTGAGGGGTGTTTGTAGACAATGCATACTTATTCACATAATTCTCAAGGTTTATTCATAACATCTTACGGTTTAACCAAAGTTTCTGTGATTTGTTTTGATTCTGACTACTTTAAGTTAGGAAAACAAACGCTGGCCAGATCAGAACAGGGCTGATTACCATGCAATGTATGATGTCCTGTTTTCACTTTGCAAAGATGTAATAAAATGCTGACTGAGGGAAATCCATCGATCTCCGTTTATGTAACTGTAGGGAATAGTTGAATACTTGTTTCCCTCGAAACTGTAAAGGAATACAATCAGAAAAATATTAAATACTGATTTATTTAGAAACAACAATCTATTTAAAATGATTATCGTAAATTATCCTTGCATGTATAAATAAACACAGAGTGAAGTAAATGGTGGTTGGAGCAGAACCCTCTGAGACCCTAAGGTCCAGCCTGCTCCTGCGAGCCAAACCAGAACCAGCAGTTCCCCTCTAAAACCGGAGGGTGGTAGCAGTTGAATGTCCTAATTTTTAATTACCATATGTCACTTCCAATTAATTTTTTATTAAAGGTTGTGTTTGGTTGCACTGACTGCATCCTCCAGGGATCCAGTCTATCTGGACTGAATCCTTGGAGGTCCATGAAGATAAGGAGAACGGAAGAGTTTTGGCTGTGGATTCAAACAGGTCCAGCCTTCCGCAGCTTTCTCCATCCGTACGCTCTGTTGCCAAGCAACTGTCACAGTTGACAGACAAAGCAGGCAAAGACTGAATGCCGAAGTTTTACTGCTGTTTTCTTTTTATTTATTTATTTCTATCTATTTATTAAAGAACAGCCAATCTGCAGCAGCCTGGGCTAACGTTAGCCCATCTACAGCAGCCCTCTCTCTACATAGCCGTATGCAGCGGTACTTCGCATACGGCCCGTATGCGAAGTACCGCTGCCTCTGATGGAGGTTTGACTGTTTTATTTTACAAAACATTAATTGGATTGGTGCTTATCTGTAAATCATTATCCCCCCACTATCTCTATTCTCCCACTCTGTTAGTTAAATCTCTAACTTTCTGCTCTCTCTGCTTTTTCTCATATCAGCTTCTCCTCGTCTGTTTCTGTTTGGCTGTGACTCCATCCTGGAGAGAAATATCAGCTGTGCTGCTGCCATCAACACCTTTGTTTACAGATGTTAGAGATCGGCCTGTTTTCCAGTGTAATCCTGTTTCTCTGACTGTGACTGGCTGGGTGTGCTCTCTTTATTCTCTGACATGGGAGCTGGCTTGGAGAAAGGTTTATAGAATTATTAAGCAACAAGGCTAGGCTAACTGCCTGCAGTGAGGATAATGCTTTATTTTGCTTTCTTTGCCTCCTTTCCAGACCTAGGTAACAGATCTTCCCGGTCTCAGGAGACTGAGCCTGGTTCTGCTGGAGGTTTCTTCCTGTTAAAAGGGAGTTTTTCCTCTCCACTGTCGCTACAAGCATGCTTAGTGTGAGGGATTGCATTCGAGTCAATGAGTCGATGGAATCAACTGGTTTTTCTTAGATCGAAAACTTTGAATCACTTTGACTGGATGATCTGGTGAACTGTAAAGTGTCTTGAGATGCCGTGTTGTGAATTGGCGCTATAGAAATAAACTGAATTGCAATTGAATTAAATGTAAAAGGAATAATTTCAAGTTTAATCTGACTAAATTATGCACTGCAAAAGATAAGGGGGGGTTTAGCACTGTCAAGAAAAGGCTGGTATCACTTGTCTTTTTCTTTATTGCATTTATCTAAAATCCACCTGCCCACTACAAGGACCCCGCTGTGGGTCAGGCTAGAGGAACAGTCCTTTCTCGGTGGAGGCCTTCCTCTCACAGATGGATAGACCAGTCCCCTCTCACGATCCGGTAAACAAAATAGAATTTGTCCAATTCAGAATTATGGTGATATTTACAAATTAGACATTGCATTTTCTCAAACAAAAATATTTAGTACAGTCAGACAGAAATCCAGGCAATATCCCATAAGACTAGAGAGAAAAACAGAAGAGCTTCACATTTCTAGGAACTTATTAGAAGTATGCAGGCGCCTAAACTGGATGGGATTAAAGCCTGTTGGGATAGGGATCTAGCTCATGAGATTCCAGAAAATGATGTTCATCGTGGCACTGTTATTCGTGTGAAGCACAATCTCAACTCATTTTTTTTATAAGATATTAAATACCGGTAGATCCCACTGGACCTCTTCCAAACTGGCAAGACTAAAACTCAGAAACAGTGACTTATGGCAGAGATGTACTGGAAAGGTTGCATATATTACATTATTGTGACAAAACAAGACATGTGGAATTCGATAATTGTGTTTGTAAATAAGGTGTTGGGCACATTTGGTCAAAAACCCTGCATTATGCCTGTTAGGATTACATTCAGATAATATTAAAATGTCGAAACATCAGAAATCTTGGTGCTGTTTAGCTATGACAACAGGGTTCAAGATAACTTTACGCCACTGGAAATCTCCCACTCAGTCCACGTTTAAGGAGTGGATACAGGTTCTAAGTTCAATGGTCACCTATAGGGTGGCTGGGAGGGAAGACATATTTAATGAGGTGCGGTGCCCATTCCTAGCTCAATTGTTTTTTTCAATTGTTTTTCTATTTATATGTTATTAGATACAGGAACAGTATTGCTGTAATAGACTTTCTAGGGTGTTTCAGTGTTGTTTTGTGATTTATGTTATATGTTGTAAGTCTGGCTTCTTATTTACATTGTTGCTGGACTACTTTTTTTATTAGTATGTTTATTATTATTACCGCCTTGTTTTATGGTTATTTGTGTAGGGAAGGCAAAAAAAGAAAGAGCTGGACAGTTGCTGATAAGTGGACACAAGATGTTTTTTTTCTGATCCATTTTACTGTAACAAGATAACGGGTGCTTTTCTCTATCTGTCTGAGAAAAACAATAACTTAAAAAAAAGAAATAAATAAAAAAAAAAGAAAAAGGAATCATTTATTATTATCTAGAGACTATTAATAACAGGAGGTGAAATGCTGCTCCAAACGAGCTTCGAATGTGGTGATGTCATCAGTACGCTTCTGTTCCAATTGATTCATATCTATTCTGCATGCCACCGTTCTCCCAGAGTCCAGATTTTCCTGTGTTTTTCAAGAAAATACTTGGCAAGGACACACTCTTTACTTGCGTTCTTGTGAATTGAGAAACGACTGAGGAGTCTTCCAATCCGAACAGGCCTCGATGCCGCATTATAACATAATCGGCTGACGAATCGTACCTTCAGAGGACACAGCCGCTCAGCAAATACATTCACCATAAACTTACAACCAAAATACAGTTATGATTTCTTCACATCAATATATTATCATTAAAGATGAAAAACAGAAAATTTAGACTTTTTGAAAAAATTTTATTGATTTCGTTTATTATGGGATAGAGGGGAAGAGGGATAGATTCTGCTGTTATTTAATAAGAAAATATACATTTAATGCATTAATCAGAAGCATAAACATGACATCCATGATTAGATAAACGCATGTGTAGAATAATTTGAAAGTGCTATATTCAGATGCTGCGCTCGGTCCGCTTGGTGCCGTCAGATAAGTGTAGATGGAGCCTAAACAGAGTCTAAAATGCTTTCACAGGAGCACTTCAGGCTCAGCTACTCCCGTTATATTATGATGTTATGACAAAGGTTGGAGCATGAAAAGGGAACCCCTGAGAGGCCATGGTGGAGAAGGAGGTGGAGCTACAATACGCCAGCACATCTACCTGCTTATATTAGCTCAGGGATGTCAAGTGGAATCCGTATGAAACTTCCATCCAACATCGTCCTGCCTGCAGACATTGATGATCCACTAAAGGCCGCTTGGGGGAATTTTAGGATTTATCCAGATATCCGATCCAGCTAAAGCAGAACCAAAACAGTTCTACTGCAGAGGATTCAGTTTCTAGATCAGGGGAAACCAATTAAAAATCAGCGGGGTCCGAATAAAGAAAATCATCAACCAGTAAAGGTCTGGAAACATTTTTATTTATAATCTGTTACTTTAAACAGAATTTAACACTGAAATGACGTTTTTATGCATCCATGTTATACATTGACTTTTTAAATAAAGAAAAATTAAAATCTAAAGTGTTTTTTGAAGTAGAGAACAATCGGTTCAGTTTGGTATAAAGACAATTTCCTGATTCACATCTTTTATAAAACACCTGAACTGACTGTTATTTTCTTTCTTTTTTCTGTCTTAATGTTGGCAGTGGGCTTTATGCTGCCCTGCTAGGCTTTAAACCTGGTTTGAATGGAGACTAAGCCATTCTAAAGCACATATCAAGGAGCTCATTCTGAGCCTGGGTCCATATTTATTTTTGATTCTGTTCATGGTGGAGAATCCTGCTTCACAGCAGCAGGTTGAGCCAAACATCCTCTAAATGTGCAGGGTCATCTTTGAGCACAACCGCAGTTCTTCCAGCAGTCCACACTTTCTCTGCTCTCTTTTTCTCATCATCTTCTCCTTCTTTCCCATCACCCGGCTTGCCACAGGTTTGCCTGCTGTGTCTA